CGGGAAGTTCACCATCATTTTTATAATTTTACTATGTATTTATATATATATCTGAAGATGATCTGACAAAACATTTGGTGTGGTTGCTGAGCTTCCTTCTGGAGTTATGCCTTTCTAAAGAATGAGCAGTCATGATCTAGTTGACGTACAAATTTAACCAAAATACAAACATTGCATAGTTCACAGTTTCAGAATTGCAAGTTATTAATCAACTTATTTCAAGTGGAACATACTACCCCTTCATACATTAATTAAAAATTGTGAAAATAAACATATTTTGGCAACACTTTACTTGAAGTTCTCATATACTGTATAATGCATTATAGATACCTTCATAAGTTTGGTATAGGAGCAGCAGTGAATTTTTTCAGGGAAATCTGAAAGGGTGACCTGAGAATTTATTCTCAAACTCTCATTTTATTACCTTGACCACTCCCAGGAAGACATTCTGGGTTGACATAACAAACTCCTCCTTGTGCTCAGCTTGACTGGGCTCAATGCTGAGTTTCTGAGCAACCAGCAGCACATGTCTCCCTGATGCTACTAAAGCTGACATTGCTGGCTCCATCTCTCTCCTCATGATACCATCATCTAACCCCTCCAGGAGCCTGGGAACACATAACAGCCTGATTTTAATATCGGTGCAGTGTGGTAAATTGGCATCTCCGAGTTGTGTGTGTGCACACCGCAATGTAGTGGAATAATATTCAGGGTGTACCACTGCCTTGTACCCTGTGTTGACTGGGATAGACTCCAGTACCCTTAAACTGAATAAATGGTTAATGAATGGATGTTTATGACAAAGGCTTTTTCGTATACTTGATCTTTTGGTCTCACGCTTCACTGAGATTTTTACAGAGTGATGATCCTATTCTAGCCATAAACAATAGATAAGAAGCAAAACTTGATTAAGTAGTAATAATAATAAAATATAAATTCATTACCAGAAGTGGGTAATTCAGGTCCAGAAAGGATTTTGTGCCAACCAACCAGTTGAGTACTTTGTGACTGTGACTCTTTATGCTCAACTGGTAGGTTGAAACAAAATCTTGGTCTGGACTTTTACTTAGTGTTGTTTTCGTCAACGAATTTTTTGACGAAATATCTTTGTCAACGGACCTTTTTGACGTGATGGAGATGAGACGCAACGTAAATGCTGGTCATGTGACGATAACTATAACGAAATATATCGTGTAATATTGTTGACGAATAAAAATGAGACTAAATTTGGTTTAAAAAATAAAAACTATACTAAAATGTCTCTTCATCTTCAGTTCAAGTCAAGTCTCAAGTCTTTGAGGGGCAATGCCAAGTCAAGTCTCGAGTCTTTTGTCCCAAGTCCAAGTCAAGTCTCAAGTCTCAAATGGCTGAAATAAACGTTCTCTCATCAGATACTATCTGAGATAATACTGCATTGCTGTATGTTTTGGATTGAAAGCATGTACTGTATTATCATCTATTATTATACACTACAGCAGGGGTCACCAACCATTTTGAAACTGAGAGCTACTTCACAGGTACTGAGCCATACGAAGGGCTACCAGTTTGATACGCTCTTCTTAAATCATGTATAATAAACATATTTTAAATGCATTTTTTTTAGATATCGTCATTTTCAAATCAATATAAATACAAATGTGATTAAAGAAGAATAGCAACAGGATAAAATTTTATTTTAGACGCTGCTCACTGGTGAGTTGTGCTATTTTTAGAACAGGTCCGCGGGTGACTCATGTGGTCCTTGGGGGCATCCTGGTGCCCACGGGCACCGTGTCGGTGACCCGTGCACTACAGTATCAAAATATTACAGCAATATTAACAGTAATACTGCAGTGGATTAGGCCTACAGTATTTTTGTGATAGACGATCTGAAAGAAATTCTTCACTGATGTTATGTTTTAATATTTTTTCCTGAAGAAACACTTGGGCAGCTGAATGGAGTTTTACCAGGGGCACTGACATCATAACAGTAGCCTATTCTAAAACAGCGGTTAATGCATAGGATTAATGTTAGGCTATCAATAGACTACATCCATATATACAGTACTCTGCTGCCATCTGGTAACTGGTAGCACAGTATAGGGCTTCTATTGGCCTGCTACTTGCTGGTAGCCTAGGCTTGAACGTAGTGAGATATGTTAATCAAATAAAACAGGTGGGGAACAATAAAGCTGTAATCTGCATGTAGTCTGTATTGCCTACAACTGTGGTTTGATTAGTTTGCTAGCAGTAACATTACCTGTCCATACGCGCTACGCTAAGTTTCCCTTTCACCTAACCAAGTGACTGACCTATCCTTGTGCGTTTAGAGGTGCCTGATGAAGTTGGACGTAGTTGAGCCGGCATCATTTATTCTGATGCTACACACTTTGCAAGTGGCTGTTTGCTTGTTAGCTGTCTGTGTGAAGAATTTATAACTAAATGCAATAACAAATGGCACAGCTCCAGGTGAACTTGCCGTCGCCATGATCTGTGTTGATTTGAAATCTGTGGCTGCACGCATGCGTTACGTTGAGCGTAATATGAAGGGAGGGAAATATTCAGTCTGCTTCCGATTTTCCCATAACATATTGTAGAAACTGAAATGAATGAAATAAATAATTCCATGAAGTGAACATTGTTCACGAGTCACAACACCCAAGTCTAAAGTCAAGTCACAAGTCTTTGTTTGTGCGACTTAAGTGTGACTCGAGTCTGAGTCTCAGACTTGAGTCCCCATCTCTGTCTGGACCTGAATTACCCAACTCTATTCATTACATTTCACTGATCTATCTGACACTTTTATACAAAGTAACTTACAACAGAAGGAAGGGTTACACGTCATGTGCACTTTATATGGTACAAACCCATGAGCTTTGTGTCGCAGCACAATGCTGTAGTTGTTGAGCTACATAAACATCAACAAACGTGCAAAGATATTATGTATTCTACTTTATATACTGCGTATTTGAATTAAATTCTTAATTGCTATGATGTTGTCAATCAGAATGCTAATGTAATATAAATAAGGGATAGATCACTTTGAGGTGGTCTAATCAACAACAACTTGGTGTAATGCAACCCAATGCAAACCTGAGGGCCGCTAACAAAGTTGATTATTTTCATATAACTGCATACCACTTATGCCATAGCTAACAAAAAAAAAACTAAAAAAATTTAAAAATAAAACTAGTCACAGTTAAATTTACAGAAGAGAATTATTTCAATTGGCATTTAATAATGTTCCAATGTGCTCTTCAAAATATAGTCCCTATAAGGATAGAACGTCTGGTCAGGCTACTCACTGAAAGCGGCAAGTCTGTTAAGTTACCATAGAAACAGTCAAAAGGCAGGCACTTGTGTTTTAAAAACAATGGAAAATTAAGCTAAGAATGACTGCTAATTTATGAGTAAAAAGTCACACAGGCTTATATATTTACGTGTTTAATAAAACATTAAAACGCATTAATATGGAACTGTTAATAGACTGATGGAACTACCTGTGCGGTTACATGAAAATAACCAATACCCATGTGACATCTCTGGACCAACCAGAAAGTAGTATTTACCAAAGCTGTGGTATAATGCATTAATCTTCTGTCACTGAATGCAGTGTTTACCTGGAGGCCACTGCAGCCATGCTCTTGGTAGCATCCACCACTTCCTTTGCTGCCCCCTCCAATCCAGTGAAGCACTCGGAAGTTCCTCCACTCTCACACATCAGGATCAGGTTGTAAAGGTGTGTTGCAATGGGTGATACCACTCTCTCAATGGACCTCATTTTGATCAGATCGGGTGTATTGTATTTCAAAATTAATGCCATGCCTGTTAGAATGACGTTAGAGGTTATTAATCAACAGCAGCCAGAGGTGTACATTCCTTAGTCAATACCTTTGAGAATTACTAAATTATTGTTATAGTAGGAATTTTTAGACTAGTCATAAAAAGCCCAAATGACATTCACACCCCCCCCCCTTTTTTTCGTCCATTTGTAACCCCGCCTACAGAATTTTTCATAAGTTCATTTTGCATCTGCCTGGGATTTGGTATGTTTTCTATGATACTGTCATAGTGGCTATTTAAATTAAACTTGGAAGATAGTATACCCAAAACTGAATATCAGACAAAAAAATGTATTAAGAATAGTAATCCTTAATACTGTTTCCTGCTTGAATAATACATTACACAAAGGTGAGCCCTTATGTTGCAGTTTACATGGACTAGTTACATTTGCAATGTAAAAAGCCAAAATTACAATTAAAGGAATTTCCAGAATAAATTCATTACTTATTTTCATTACCTGGCAGGTCTATGGGCTTGTAGATGAGGCTTATTATAGTTGCTGTAACTTCCCTCAGAGTGCTAAGTAATTTCATCTGGTTACAGAGCAAAGAACTGCTCTGGCGTGAACATCCCATAGCAACGAGTATCAGCTGACACAAACAATGACCTCATAGGTGCAAAAACAGGAGACAAAAAATATCCTTTTGTATGCAAAGCCACATTAAATGATTAACATTATTTACCAATCAATTCACTTTATTGGACGGAAGATCAGAAATACTTTGATATACTGATGCACTTTATTCCGTTTCCACTAATATAATAAACATAGTTTTGATTAATTTGACAGTAGAAAGCAGTAAATGATGCTATTTAAGTGCGTTGTTAATTCAATCTCATTATTTAACAGAATAACCTAACAGTTCAGCCAAATCCAAATAAAAGTAACGTTAAATCCCAACACCTATTCGCTAACTTCGTTTCTTTAAATGGAAAGCAATGCCCTCTGGGAGTTGTAGTATAGTACATTTGGCGTTCTTAAAATAGCGACAAATATAATTTACATTCAACAATTTTTCAGTAAGTTCAGCAATAAAATGTTATTTTTAAAATTATGCAAGGTATTCATTTATTGTTTCTTCAAAATCAGTTATTTGTACATATACAGAAAAAGTACTTGAACAATAAGTACCAGAATTCACTGCGTCACTGACTTGCGCGAACCTGACCCACGTGACTCCGGAGCATGACAGCTGTAATATCCTAGCTGGATGTGAATAAAAGAGGGCTGTGGTTTAATAGGGACCTTATAGCGTAGCATGCTCTGGCATATATATGTCCTGCAAGATACAACTTGGAATTTGTTTTCACATTCTTTAAGAACAATTGTTAAAATTCGGCTTGTAATAATCGGTTTCTTCGTGACTTTACAACGTATGATATCCTGCACGAAAGCTAACCTAGCGGTGTAGAAACGGAATCTCTCTCGCTATCATGGAATTAGGACAGTCACACCCATATCTTGTCGGGACATCTATATGGATATTAAATATTGCTCTTTAGTTTTAAAAATAGTTCTTTGGTATAACGCTATTGAAGAGAATGGTTTTTCTAATTCAGCTTGCTAGATAAATAATAATGTTCTGTGCATAGCAAACTATATTTATTCTGTTATGAATGAGTCATGCCAGAGGCACTTGGGTAAGAGACCGAGAGCTAGGTGTTAACATTTAGGTTTTGATTAAGGTTAACGGTGGAATTTGCCCGTTATTCTCAGGCAGGATGAGTATGCCATTGTATACATTTGTCACCAGAGATGAGAACAGCAGTGTCTATGCTGAAGTTTCCAAAATTCTCATTTCTACTGGACAATGGAAGAGGCTCAAGAAAGACAATCCTCGTTTTAACTTGATGCTGGGGGAAAGGAACAGACTACCATTTGGAAGATTGGGTGAAATGTTTAATACCTTTTTAACATATACCTGTATATATTATCTGCTTAGGCAATAACGTATCCGATACGTTTACAAATTTTAATCATAGACGGCTGCATGAACGGATATCTAAAGTAAGAAGACTACAGCTTAGTGTTACAAGTATTTTTGCTTCCTAACGAAGCGATCTTTAATTCTTGTTGAATTATCGTAATGATGTCGCAGGGTGTTTAATCCAACAGATTTGCCGGTATCCAAGGGGCTCTTTGCATGGCCTGCCGTATTTTGTCTTCTTACTTGTTGATAAAGTGATGCACAACCTTTTCGCTGGTTGTCTGTCTGATTGTGGTGTAAGAGGCTTTCCAGTAGTAATATACCGTATCTTTCATTCACATACAGTATCGAATGCGTCGCTGTTATACCGGATTACGTTTGCATGTTGAGCGCATCCTTTGCATTCACGACCCCATATGACCTCACGCTCTTATCCTGTAATTTTAAGACGAGGGAAAACAACCATATTCGTTCACTCTTCTATGGAGAGAAAACGTTTAATGAAATTAGAGTTTTCTTGCCATAAATCTCTTTTTTTTCCCGGGTTGCATATTTATTGTTCTAACGTATTAATATATCTAACTTGTCCTCTGCAGGGCACGAGCCAGGACTGGTGCAGCTAGTGAATTATTACCGGGGTGCTGACAAGCTGTGCCGTAAAGCATCTTTAGTCAAGTATGTACTGTAGGTTTAGGAAGGTATCCATTTTTGGGTCACCTTATGTGTGCTAGCTGTTATAATACAGTATATAAGGAATCTGTTTTGTGTCAGAACTTCCTGCCAGTTGCAATACTGGAGAACTGTTGACATGGTGGTATGGGGTGGGACCAGCAAGGCTCAATGCAGGTTAATTCATTTAGCACTGCAGTCTGCAAAGAACAGCATGTCTTACCACTTTAGTCCAGTGTTAGGTGTGATACTTAGATTTTTATGCTGCCGCTTAGCGTAATGTACATTTAGGAAAATTTCAGAATGATGGATTTAAAGATATATGATTTAATGACTTCATTCTGACTTGTGGCACAGTACAATGACAAGAATTTAGACCTTTTTTTATGTATATTCTTATGTGACATCAGAAGTAACCAATGTATTTGTGGATTAAATCCGTCTTTGCACTGGACCTTGATTTTCTCCCTAATGTAACAAAGTTATTTTTAAAATAAACTTTCATCCATTGCTCCACTTATGGCATACTTACATGGAAATGTATTTAATAAATTGTTACTTGTCTAGTTACATATTACAAAATCTTCCTTACGCAGGTTAATCAAGACCAGTCCTGAGCTCTCTGACTCCTGCAACTGGTTCCCTGAGTCTTACATTATTTATCCCACCAACCTCAACACCCCTGTGGCCCCAGCCAAAAATGGAATGAGCCACATGAAAAACAACCCTAAGACCGATGAACGCGAGGTCTTCCTGGCCTCCTACCACTTGAAGAAGATGAATGGAGAAGGGACAGTGTGGATTGCTAAATCATCAGCTGGAGCCAAGGGTGAGAGCAACACTGGATGCCGCAGTTTGAAGTCAGCATAGCCTAATTTTGTTGAGCAGCACTGGGGTAAATAATGCATTGGCATTAAATCTGAGTTGTTTTGTTTACTGTTTCAGGTGCTGGGATTTTAATATCATCGGATGCCAATCAGTTGCTGGAATTCATAGATAATCAAGGCCAGGTTCATGTCATTCAGAAGTATCTGGAGAATCCTCTTTTGTTGCAGCCTGGTAACCGCAAATTTGATATCAGGTGAGAGAAATCGCCATGACGAAGTCGTGGGTCTAAGAGCGCTCTTCCACTGCACCAGGTACCATACTTTTGGTACTTAATAGTCCCAAAGCTACAGTACTTCTTTGTGTTGTTTTTCCACTGGCGTAAAAACTGGTTCCGCCACTGAATGACATCACAAAGGTAAGTCGGGGCATTTTGTACCAAATTTTAAAAATGGCTGTAGTATATTATAGGGCGGGATGATGTGCGATATTAATACCAACATCGCACGTTATGCACATGCAATTCTTTACATGGCTAGGCTGAGATCAGTCACTTTCACACCTTCATACTGCATGGACATTATAGTGCTGGGGGGGTTTCACTAAAACATTATTGTCTGCCATAGGGTGGGAAAGCGCCCTAAACCTCAGCATAGGTACCAAAACTTTTTAACCATAATGTCTTTCACATCTAAGGGACTGGAAGGGATAGAAGGGACTGTTGAACTGAAGCCTGACTAAGACACTGAGTTAAAACGTTGCCGTACTGTTTCACTGCTGACTCCCTTTTTAGATCATGTAATGTATTGGATGTTATTATGTCCCTAATGGTGTGACATAATAACAGACGGAAGATGCTGATTCACCCTGTGTGTGGCCTGTGAGAGTACGAGAGGTGGCGTTTTAACCTGAGTACCTCACGTGGTGTTCATCCTTTAGCTGTGCAAGCTTCTTTCTGAAGGTCAAACTCAGGGATTCACATTGACTTAATGTAATTTTGTGTGAAACTAGCTATGTACAAGTGAAGTATTGTCATTACTGACACATCACAGTGCACAACAATGAAATGTCTTCTGCATTTCACCCATATGTGACATAGTACAGGGCCATTAATTCAGCAGTGCTTTGGGCAGGACCTTGCTCAGAGTATCTCAGTGATACCTTGCTGGTCAGGGATTCGAACGAGCAACCTTTCAATCGCAAGTGTGCTTCCCTAACCATTGGGCCACCACTGCCCCTAGACAACAGATTCCTTGTAATTCTCGTGTCTAAGCTCCTTCCTTTGGGAATCGATGGAGGCGAAGGACAACTGATAGAAACTATTTGGAGTCTACAGAGAAATGTATGCATGTGCACCTAACTTCCAGTGAGAGCACAAGTCTAGTTTTGAGTTCCCAGAAATGTGGTATTTATTTTGTCTCCAAAGAAATCTTAGAGAGTGTGGAAATTACTGTTCTTAATCAGCTGCGTTGTTCTTTGCAGGAGCTGGGTTCTAGTGGATCACCAGTACAACATCTACCTATACAGGGAGGGTGTACTGCGCACTTCTTCAGAGCCTTACAACAGCTCGGACTTTGAGGACAAGACGAGTCACCTGACGAACCACTGCATCCAGAAGGAACACTCCCAGAATTACGGCCGATACGAGGAGGGGAATGAAATGTTCTTCGATGAGTTTCGTCAGTATCTGCTGAACACACACAGTGTCTCCCTGGAAGCCGCCATTTTACCTCAGATCAAACAGATCATAAGGTAATGCGTTTCGTCGTTTGGTGCTTGAGTGGCGCAGGCAGAGTTTCCATAAATATAGGGAATTCAGAAAAACAGACATCAAGAATCCTTAAAGTCAAATGGGGGGGGGGGGGAAACAGAATTTATGCAAAGAAAGTGTGCGCATGTTTGAAGTGGCAAGTTGCAACCACTCTGCTTAAATTATTCAGATGACAGTTAAAACTACATGCGGCAAGCAAGCGGCCTGGTCCCCATAGAGCGGCTGATTCTTGGGTTTGGCTGTATCTAAGAAAACTTCCTTGTCATCCATATTATGAACTGACATTAAGTACACAATTTGATTTTGTTAACCGTGCCTTGAATATAATTTGGAGAGAGCAGTTATGCATTATCAGTTTCATACTGGTAGAAGTTCAGATTTTGCACAAATAGCTTTACTGAATGAGAAGGAAATTAAATATAAGAACAAGAGGGAGTTAATGGGTAAATTATTTTTGATGGAAATTTAAGCAAAATTAAGCATTTGTCTCACAATTCTGACAGAGATGGAAACTGTTGATGTCTATTTCTATGTTGGAAACAGACCTTTTTCCTAATTAAAAATGTATTATTCATACAGAAGCTGCCTGGTTTCCATTGAGCCAGCTATCAGCACCAAGCACCTCTCTTACCAGAGTTTCCAGCTCTTTGGATTTGACTTCATGGTAGATGAAAATCTGAAGGTCTGGCTTATTGAAATTAATGGAGCTCCAGCCTGCGCACAGTAAGTTGTTGTTCTTATTAATACTTCATGAATGACCGGTGAATGTTACTCTATTCATCAGGCCATGTGGTATCTTTCTGTGCATGCAGGTCTTTGTTGACTATGAATTAGGTGATTGTGGAAACGGTTTCTCTTATCTTCCAGGAAACTGTATTCGGAACTGTGCCATGGCATCGTGGACATGGCCATTTCCAGTGTCTTCACCTTGAACAGTAGCGATTCCTCAGCCTCCTCCTCCGCCTCCTCTTCCTTATCTTCCTCATCCTCATGCTCCTCCCCAAAATCCAGACCACCCAATCACCATGGCCCATTCATCAAACTGTAAGCATGGGAGCTCCCTTGTGTTTTGGAACTCATGTTCCTGCTTCCTTGCCCCCACCCCCGCCCCACCTCCAGTTTTTACGGATGCCAGCCAGATCAGTCCCCTTATCACCTTGTTTTGGGCAGGCAATGGGAGCAAGTGTTACCCTAGTTTGAGGCAGTTAACTTACTGGCCCATAAAAAGAAAAGTGTGCTTGTAAATTCTCCACCTCTGTTGTGGCAAAGTACTTATCTTGAACCTTTCTGTATGTCCCCAAATGTTTATTGTTTTGCTAATGAGTGTACGAGGGTAGTGAGCAAACAGCTTTGGCCTGCGGGTTTTGTGGCCTCTTTGCACTCGGTGGAGTAATTATGGCACATATCTAGAAAGCAAGGAGCACCGTCTGTTATTGCAGATACAGATGTTTAATTACTGGGCTATTTAACAGTTAGTGGCTTATGTACCTGCCGAGTCCATCTGATGTAACTGTCTGTCGAAATAATGACTTCTGTTGACAAATTTGAAAACCCATAGGCCCTTTGGTCATCCTAGAGCTTGACTGGCCACCTGTCGTTTGGAGAGTTGAACGGTTCAGAGCAGAGTGTTGAACTGTCTTGAGAAGCACTCTGGATCCATTTTTCACTGGAGGATGGCCGTTTGCTGCCATTAGTACTGCCAAGGACAGTACAGGAAGTGCAGAGTACATATCCATATCATTCAGTTACTATGACTTTAGTGCCTTACATGACCTTGCCCAGCCATAAAGACGACCACTGTTGATTTACCTAAAGTTTGTCACTACATTTAGCATCAACGTGTTTCAGAACTTTTATGTCTCTTATCTGCACTACACTATTAATTCAGAGGTCCTGACTTCTGACAAATACCATAGTGTCCTCTTCAACCTTAAAGTTAACTCTCCTTTATCTGAATAGTTAGAATACTCATTGACTTGGTTGAGCTGGTTCAGCCAAGACAAAGCCATCATCACACTGTTTCCTGCGCTGTCATGACAATTTATAGTTTTTTGTGTATGTTATTTTTAAGTTAGTCACAGTCTGCATACTGTAGAGTCTCCATGGGTTTGCCGATAGATCCAATAAGTTTTCGGGCAGTACATTCCTCATGTCCATATCTAAATCTGTTCAACATGGTTCAAGATGATGCATTCACATCCAGAACTAGGGATTTTTAAAACATCCAAATTGCATGACATCTTCAGCTTCTCAGTTATAATTGTTGTTGAAATGGAACAAACCTGCAAACTCGGTTCATGAATGAGATTTCTTCCTAAATAGCTCTGTTTGAGAACCATATTCCTATCAGTTTCCAGAAAAAAAAATCTTTATTGTTGAAGAGGCATTTATTGCAGATTTAGCTTCATCCTTAGACCAGAGATATCTTATTGCGATGTACATTAAACAGGATAGTGGTTACGCCGGTCATCAGAATAAGATCATAAGACAGGAGATTATAAAAGTGAACTTTTTTTTTTTGCAAAGAAAAACATGCAAGTTTTTGTCATGAACACATCGATCAAAAAACATTGTCAGGTTTAAAATGACTATCAGCAGAAAAATTCAGTTGTGAGGTCCATGGTTCCATGCTATTTCTAGCTTAATGTTGATGGTTCACATCATTCACTAACCAGAATGCTTTACTTGTGCAGACAATGTGCTATGAAGACTCTTAAGAGGATGAGCACTTCTCAGGAAAGGGTCTCATCCGTTCAGCCTGTATATCAGCCATACAGAAAAACCCTTAAAATGAGAAAAGCTTCAGCATGACATCTGAGTGTTAAGATTAAAATGCACAATTGTTTTATCTCTTGGTTATCTTTTGGAAGAATGTTACATTTATCACTTGCACTGCATGACTGCCGGAAAGCATGAAGAATCTTGCATTAGTCATCATCTTTATGTGGTTATTTAACACCAAAAACTTTGCTGCCCATCACTAACCAGTGGCATGATATTTCCTTTTAATCTCATTCCCATATTAATATTTTTAAGTCTAAATTTCATTGCTAAAACATTAGCTTTCTAATGATGTGAAAACTCTCCACAAAAAAAAGTGTTCCTTATAGTCTTAAATGATTTTTTGGTAATCTCATTAAAACCAATATAAATGTTCTTTTTGACCCACCTTAAAAAAATCAACAGCTTAGCCTGAGTTGACTCTAGTCTGTCACTCTAAGATTCAGATGTCTGTTTCTGCATTATCTCATCATTTTCTTAACCTAATGGTAAACAAACTAATGAATAACAATAGATATGACATCGATTTAAGACCATTACATGCAACTCCACTTGTAGTAAATGGGAAATGGCATCAGTTCTTGAGAAATCTGAAGTGATAATTGGTCTTTTTTGTCATATGGCAGACTTTTTTTTTTATTATTATTAAAAAAAACCTTATGCATTTTATTGTGAAGGCTTATGTTGAGGAATGTTTGCATTTTTTTAACCTATTGTCAAATGTGAATTGTCAATGTTGCAAAGAAAATGTTTCTGTGTTTCTTTAGTACTCAAAATGAAGGGATGACAGAACTTGTGCTTAGGGTGATTGCAGTTCTATAAAAGGTGAATGTGTTGATAAGGAAAAAGTTGACTCTTACAAGTTTAAAAAGTGATTCTTTTGCAAGTAAATGTCAAATGCATGAACTGTGTGGGGAAAGTGTGAGCTGAATGTATAGCAGTGGAAAGAAACCAGCTGGAAGGGATGTTTATTCATTTTTTTTGTACATACACTTTATAGGATGCATATTTATTTACACAGGTCTCCTCCAAATGACTATTTTCTCCTGTTTATTGAGGGGAAATTGTTCTCCCACGAAGAGGTGCCTTAAAAGAATGTACAACCTCTTGTGAGTTTTGGAGATTAATATTATAAACATACATTTTTAAAAGTCATGGCATGGCATTTTAAGTCAAGCATTTATGGTTATCCTTTTGTATTTTTGTAACTGTCAACCTGATGTTTTACTTAAAATAAGGTGGTCTTATTACTGTTTTATATCATTTACCTTGCCAACTTGTTTCACTGCTGTTTTGGTATTTTGCCTTCTGTAACTGTTTATCCCAAACCCCTACCTCAACATTTTAGTGCATTTCTAAAAGCAATCCTGTTCCTGACCAAAGATTACTCTGTATCTGGTCTGTGTAACATCATATATAATTATGGATCTGTCGGTGTAGAACTTGCTACAACAGAACACGGGGTTTGTAGAACAAATGTATTTCATAAGTGTCACGTATAGCACTGTTCAGTAGTTACAGAAGTAATTAGCAGAACAGAAGACAAATCTTTTTGTTTCGCAGCCGCTTCTCTTTGACATTGCCCACCCCACAAACATGGATGTACATGGCTGTCTGAAAGAACTTTTCCCTGTAGTTATTTACCAAGGAATGTGGCAAAAAAATGGTAAATGCCTTTACAATTAGTTTTTCCTAACTTGCATAATTAACACTATTCCCTGTTCAATGTCTGACATGTGGTGTGTTTGTCACCTGAACATTTGTTCTCAGTTATTCTCGTTTGGATTATTCTTGCATGTAAAACTGGCTGTGTCTGTACTGAGGAAATTATATTGAAAAATAAACTGTCACATGATTTATGTCATTATTGAATCTTACCTATTTTTATGTGAGGTTTCGGTCACCTCAGATTTCAAAGGTTGGCCGAAAATTATTCTTTTATTTTAAAAAATTATAATTTAATCCTTGTACATGTACAAGCGGCAATTCAAAGATAAATAGTCATATTTTAATAACTACAGTATCAGTGAGTGTGGTCAGTGTAATAGAAACACAGTATAAGATTATAGCCTTATAGGATTGGTTATTCTTTAGTCACTTGATAAGTGTTATGCTTTAGGCTGGGTTTAACTACAAGTGGTGAAAGTGAGTTGTGCGAGAAAGGACAAAAGTCCTAAAATAATCTACAAAGTGGAATTTATTATAAAATATTTTTTGTTCTGTGTCTGGGAAAGCAATTAAAAGTGGTGCACTGTTCAAAGCTAATGTTGCAGGCCTATATAGTGGTTAGAAACAGATCCCAGCTTACGTGGGATACAGTTGGTTGGAAAAAGACATGTATTCAGGGGTCCAAGCAGCTTAGCTGCTGAATCTCTATTGTTTTTTCAAGAATTAAAGAAACAGACATTTAGCGATTTTTCCGGAGTGCAATTGCACCCCCTGCTGGTCAAATGAAATGCTATTTGAACTACAGTGTAAGTTCAATAAAATTAAATCATGTTATATTTGAAAATTTGGTTCATGTTAATCATCCATCCATTTTCCAACCTGCTTATCCTACTGGGTCGCGGGGGGTCCGGAGCCTATCCCTGAAACAATGGGCACGAGGCAGGGAACAACCCTGGACAGGGGGCCAGCCCAACGCAGGGCACATTCACACACCATTCACTCACACATGCACACCTACGGGCAATTTAGTAACTCCAATTAGCCTCGGCATGTCTTTGGACTGTGAGGGGAAACCAGAGTGCCTGGAGGAAACCCCACGACGACACGGGGAGAACATGCAAAGTCCACACACATGTAACCCAGGCGGAGACTTAAACCCAGATCCCAGAGGTGTGAGGCAACAGTGCTAACCACTGCACCACCATGTCGCCCCCCTCATGTTAATCATATGTGTACAATAATTTATTTTAAAGGTATTTACTTGTTTTTTTTTTTTTTTTTAACAAATGTATTTCTCTGGATGGATGACTGGTTGGGGTCATTCACCTTGCACCACATGGAAAAAAAAGCCTTGAGTCGACTATGGGAATAAAACAACATGAAACTATATCTAGGTTTTACTAGGTTTTAGGCATTTAACCTAAGGAACCGTTAACTAGCTCGTCACGCAACTCCTATTCCCAGCATTCCTCACACTTGGTTTACTTCCTAGGTCACCCCCATAGCTTCTTCCGGTCGGTGGTTGCGTACATGTGGTTTCTAAACAAGCATGGATTCCACACCGAAGTGGAGTAATTTACCGTCCGGACCGACTCTCAAGCATCTGGCCGAAGTCGGTTTCGGCATTCCCAAAAGCAAACAACATGCCGCTGTTCAGGAGCTTGTTAAAGCTCACGTTGAATCGTTTGATAACGCGGTCACCGATGGACTTTCCAGGGCAGTACAGGTAGACAACTAAATTGTCATCAGTCGTGTACAACTTAAAACAACGCAAACATCTATAACTCGCACTGCGATGCATGTATTTTGCCTCTAGTCTTTTGGGACACATTCTTTTACGGTTTTGTATACACTCGTTTTAAAACAAGTACTTAATCCAGTTGGAGCGTGTACAGTATGACTGATATGTAAGTGTAATTCCATTTTGCTGCTTGCCTCGTTTTATGTTGAGAAAGACAATTACGGTACTTTATCATTCCAGGCAATCCCTCCATTGGAGTTCATGGTCAAAAACGAGCGGATCAGTCTGGCGTTCGCTGAAGCCGTCATTCATAAGCCAGTCGTTGCCAAAGGAACCATTAGTCAGGACCTGAGCATATTTCCTGCAGAGTGTAGGGGCAGGCGCTGCTCCTACAGAGGGAAACTTGTGGTAGGCACCTTGGAAATTTGGTGGTGTTAAAGCAAAATGGTTTAGCAGCTATTTGTTAAATTGTAGGGATTACACTAGATATTGCATACTTGTGGTTAAAATCTTCCTTATGTGTGGTATTGGGTCTCCACTCAGACTGATGTGTGCTGGTCAGTTAATGGCATCCCCAAAGGCATCATCAAGCAATCTATGGGCCTGGTGCCCATCATGGTGAAGTCTAAACTGTGCAATCTTCATGGACTCTCCCCCAAAGAGCTCATTGAGCACCACGAGGAGGCAGAGGTATGGTGCTGGTCGTCTCCATGGACACCCAGGCATCCATTTAATCAGCCTGGCAGCCAAGCTGTAATTGTAGTATAATTTTGAAAATTGTTGAATATGATCTGTGATTATGAAGGTCATGCACACTGTTTTGTTATAAATAGCAGGTTGTATCCTGAATATGTGTTTTTCGTATTATGAATGACTTAAAGGCTTGGGTGTATTCCCATGTGGTTTTAGCATAGTTGCTTTTGTCCCACCATCACTTAACATACACCCCCCCCCCCCAGGAAATGGGAGGCTATTTCATTGTGAATGGAATTGAGAAGGTTATCCGGCTGCTCGTGATGCCCAGAAGAAATTATCCCATCGCAATGGCTCGGCCGAAATGGAAAAGCAGAGGCCAGGGTTACACTGAATATGGTAATTTAAGTATTTTTTTACTTTAAATACATTGTGCTTTCCAGAAAGTGTGAATTGTGTACAGTTTTCTGTAAATGTCAGTTTAACCATATTAGATACAACATAACTGCTATTTTCCATCATGTTCAGTTACTTAGCTGACCCCCATATTCAGTAGCACTTCCAGTTTTAAATAGTATTTTGTGTCTGTGACACAGTTGTTGCCCATAGCATATATTCCACTTGGCCAGGGCTATTCAAATCACAGTCCTCAAGGTCCCTGCTCTGCTGATCTGAACCCAGTGTGAAGCCCCTGTGGCCAGTCAGAATCAATCATTATTAAACTACCTAATAGGTAGAACTAAAAATACGACCTGGATTTGGAATGGAGGTCCAGCATTGAAGAGCCCTGCACTAGTCTGTATCAAGTTTGATTAGTGAAGCTAGTCACCCTCTGTCACCAGGCATTTCAATACGCTGTGTGAAGGATGAACACACAGCCATCAACATGAACCTCCACTACTTGGACAACGGGGCTGTGATGGTCAACTTCATCCACCAGAAGGAGCTCTTCTTCATCCCACTGGGCTTTGCATTAAAGGTGACAAACTGGAGTACATACAAGGATGACAATAATCCAGCAAAGCAGCTCATTAGATCATAGAGAGATGTTTCCTATATGACTCGAATCTTCTCTTTACTTTTCAGAGTTTCTTGTGTTAAATGATCTTATCTGGAAATTAATTTTTAAAAGCGGAGCGCTGTCTGGTGAATGTCACACAAGCCTCTGGTAATCCTGGGTTCTCCTTTCAAACAGGCCCTCGTTGACTTCACAGACTTCCAGATCTATAAGGAGCTGATCAAGGGCCGTGAGGAGAATACGTTCTACAGGAGCTGTGTTTCAGACATGCTGCGTCTAGTCATGGAAGAGGGCTGCACCAGCCGGCAGAAGGTTCTGGGCTACCTGGGGGAGCGCTTCCGCGTCAAGCTGAACCTGCCTGAGTGGTACACTGATGAACAGTGTGGCAGCCTGCTGCTCGAGTGAGTCCTCAGTCTTGTGATTGGAAGTTTTTGCCATTTGTTTTAATGTGGGTTGTCAATATTGCAAAAGTTGTATTGAGTATTGAGTCCCAATAATTTTTTTGGTTTCCAAGTATTCTCTAGTGCAGTGTTTCTCAGCTGATTTAGCCCTAAGACCCGCATTTTTCCTTGCTGGTAAAATTTACCCATCGGATGGTGGGGGTTGCTGGTGGTTAAAAAACAAAAAAAAAAAGAAAGTTTCACCTTGAAAAGAATTTTCAAAAGAAAATTTGAACCACACGCTCTGGATGGTATTCTTTGCTATCTGTCACACATCAATTTACGAGCTACAGTTAATGTCTTGCTACTTTACATTGAGGAAGATGGACTGGTTTGGCTCTGTTCTGGTTTGGTGCAGCAAATAATATCTCATTACAGTCAAGCTATTTCCAGGTATTGCTTTGTAACGTGAGTCTTACCTGTAGCTCATTGTTTTTTCGGTTTTTAATTTCATGGCCTACAGTCCACAGTTCACCTTCACAGTAAAGGCTTAGAAGCGGATATGATGGTTACCTTGGACTCCACTGTTAGCTTGTGGCAAGGCTAAAGACCACACCCTGCACTTGCTGCTTCATGCGGGCCCCCTCTCTCTCCCCACAGCCACTGCCTCTGTATCCACCTGAAGTCGGACATGGAGAAGTTCTACCTGCTGTGCCTGATGACGCGTAAGCTCTTCACCTTCGCCAAGCAGGGCTGCATGGAGGAAAACCCAGACAGCTTGATGTGCCAGGAGGTGCTCACCCCCGGCGAGCTATTCCTGATGTTTCTGAAGGTACGTGCATTTCCACCTGGGACATCATGCTGCATTTGCATGATTCTTCCTTCTCTTCTGGCTGTGCTCTGCTGTACCGGTGCTCCTTGCTTCATGACAGTTCCACATACAGTATTTGGACTTTATGGCAGTGGGATAGCGATGCACTCTCAGTAGTCAGCTTTGAATTTTGATCCCTGCTCAGGCTAGCAATTTGCTATATGATATACTTTCTATGGATGCCAGGGAGGGCAGCATCCACACTTGCAGTCTCTGTAGTGATTGCGAGCATAAACATCTCATATGGTGTTAAATTCTGTACAATACACTGTTATTTTCTGTTTAGCCCAGTAAACTTGTATTCATGTTTTTACTTTAATTGCTGGTATATAGTTACAGTAGTTCCAAAAGAACCCCATGAAAAAGTTTAAAAGCAAAGTCCCGTTTCCCTCGCCCGGACTAGGGTCACCGGGGCCCCACCCTGGAGCCAGGCCTGGGGGAGGGGCCCGTTGGCGAGCGCCTGGTGGCCGGGCCTTGGCCCGTGGGGCCCGGCCGGGCACAGCCCGAAAGAGGCACGCGGGACTGTCCCCAGGTGGGCCCACCACCCGCAAGGGGAGTGTCAAGGGGTTCGGTGCTATGTGGATCGGGTGGCAGCCAAGGGAGGCCCTGGCGGTCCGATCCCCGGCTGACAAAACTGGCTTTCGGGACATGGAATGTCACCTCTCTGGTGGGGAAGGAGCCTGAGCTTCTGCGT